CAACCATAGAAAATATGATCAGTAGTATCGTTATTTCTTCTACAAATAGGGCACATTGAGGGCTGAAGCACCATCTGAAATCTTCTAAGATTGTCTGAAATAGGTAAAATGCCTCTAAAAAGCTTCCATTGAAATAACTTCACTTTAAGTTGTTGTTTAGGGTGCCAAATATGTTTGTATGAAAATGCTGATCCCTGGGAATGTCTAATGACATTAAAAGCAGATTTGTAGGAGAAGAGACCATCAGAAGAGGGTAACCAAATCAGGTTTTGAGCATTTGAAGTTTCTGTCCAGGAGAGAGCAAAATCATTGATTCTGCATAATCTTTTCCAGCTTGGAGAATCAGTAAGTTTAGGTTGCATATCATCCCCTCTCTGATATTCGTTGTGCATAAATTGGGACCAAGAACCAGAATGAGATTTCCACTTCCACCAAAGTTTTAAAGAATGAGCTTTTTCAAGATCATTAATAGAGCGTATGTCCAATCCCCCTTCTTCTTTAGGATAACACATCTTGGACCAAGTAATCCAATGATACTTCGGTTTGTCATTATCAGATCCCCAAAAGAAATTGGCAAGCTTCTTATTTAAAATCCTTTTAATTTTCTGTGGCAGAAGGTCAACAGCTAGAAAATGCATTGGGATAGAACCTAACACATGTTTGATCAAGATAAGTCTCCCAGCCTGAGTTAAATTCTTTTGCTTCCAAGTAGAAAGTTTAGAATCAAACTGTTGAATTATATGGTGACAATGCTAATGTCTATTTATACCCCTGTGTAGGTTAGCTCCAAGGTATTTCAGAGGAAGAGTGGTTTTCTGCATTCCTAACAACTCTTTGATGATCTGACTTCTTGCCTGAGCATGCTTACCAACAACAAAAGAACTTTTATCAAAGTTGACTGCTTGTCCTGAAGCTCCTTGATACTGGGTAAGAAATTTCTTAAAATTAAGAATAGATCTAGAACCCCCATTCATAAAAATTAACAAATCATCTGCAAAAGCAAGATGGGTAATAGGAACACCATGTCTGCCCATCCCATAGTAGCCAATCTTCCCATTAGCCACTTGCCGATTTAAGCCCCTAGAAAAAGCTTCAGAGGCAATAATGAACAGAAAAGGGGAAAGAGGGTCTCCCTGTTTAACCCCTCTTTTAGGTTGAAAGAACCCATGAGGACTGCCATTTATCAAAACTGATAAATATGTGGACTTAAGATTATTAAGAACCAGCTTGATAAAATGTTCATGAAAACCAAATCTTGTCAGAACTTTGGAAAGAAAACCCCAAGACAACCTATCAAAAGCCTTGGCCATGTCAAGTTTGACCACCATGTTAGATCCTCTAACCTTCCTGTCAATATTATGAATCATTTCTTGACCAATAAGGATCTGATCAGCCATATCCTCCCCTTTAAGAAAACCAGTTTGCTCATTAGAAATTATCATAGGAAGAAGGATGGATAATCTGTTAGCAAGCACTTTAGTACAGACTTTATTGATGAAATTAGATAAACAAATAGGCCTGTAATCTGTAAAGGAAGCAGGGTTATCTTTCTTAGGTATAAGTACTAGTAGGGAGCTAGATAAACCTGTAGGAATAGGAACTCCAATGAAGAAGTCTTGAACAGTACTAACCACATCCTTCCCCACAATATGCCAACATTTTTTAAAAAACTTACCATTATAACCATCAGGCCCAGCAGCCCCATTTTGATTAAGTGACCACACTGCCTCTTTAACCTCTTCTGAATCTGGAAGGGAGATAAGAGATCGTTGTCTTCTTCTTCTAAAAGTGATGGAATGTATTGCAGGATTTCCTCAGAGTCACCTTCCTGTTCATGGGAATAAAGAGAAGAAAAGTATTGAACATGAGCCACCCCAATCTCAGGTATAGAGTTAACTGTAATCCCCTCCATGTTGGTGATAGAAGTGATTTGTTGTTTTCTATTTCTGATTTTCACAAAAGAGTGGAAGAAACTAGTATTAGCATCTCCCCCTTTGAGCCAGTTGAGATGAGCCCTTTGTTTTCAATTTTTTTTTCAAGATTGTATTTAGAAAGAAGCAAAGCCCTTTTGAAGGACCAGGTAGACCTATTATCTTCAGAAGGGTTATTCTCAAAATCAATCTCTGCATTAGAAACCTCTTGCTCACAGAACTTAATGCTCTCAAAAATATTTCCAAAGGTGTCAGAGTTCCATTTTTTGAGGTCTTGTTTCAAGCATTTAAGTTTTTTAGTCAGACCAAGCATGCCTCCACCAAATTTATAAGAGTTCCAACTATTAGAAACCATCTCAAAAAAGGAGGGGTGAGAAATCCACATGTTCTGAAATTTGAAAGGTTTAGGACCAGCATAACCATTATTAAGAAGCTGAATAAGAACAGGTGAGTGGTCAGAAGGGGTCTTGTTAAGATGAGTAATCTGAATGTGATCATAAGCATCAATGCAATGACCATTAACTAGAATTCTGTCAAGTCTTCTCCAGAGTCTACCATTAGATCTTACACCAGTCCAAGTGTAACTAGAGCCATTAACAGGAAGATCATTTAGCCCACAAGAGGAGATACAATTTGCAAACTCAATCATGCTAGTTAAATGGGGAAGAGAGGGACCAAAATGTTCAGTATGAGAGGCTATAGCATTAAAATCACCACCCACTAACCAATTTCCTGTGATCTGATTTGACAATTCAGTTAACTTTTGCCACAAAACTCTCCTATGTATGTAGCTATGATTGCCATAAATAGCTGTGAAATGACCAGTGAAGAGATTATAGCTGATTTTGAAGTGAGTATACTGAGAATCCCATTCCACATGAGAGATAGTGAGATTAGAGTCATCCCAGTATATCCAAATCTTATTAAGATCAGTAAAAAAACACTTTGTTGAAGCCCAGATGTCTCATAAAATTTTCTGCTTTAGTATTTGCCACAATAGGTTCAATAACAATAAGTAAATGAATTTGCCATTGCTGAATTAGGGAGAATAGCCTAGAAGCAGCACCTTCTAGCCCCCTTAGATTCCATACCAGACAATTCATTTCAAAATGGAATGAGGAGTATTTTGTGGAAGCCGGTAAGCTGCACTAGATTCTGATTTACCTTCAATAAAATTTATTTTCTTTGCTGTGCTTCTGGTCACACGAGGAGGAATTTCTGGAAATGATTTTTTCTTCTTGTATCTTTTCCTTCTGACCACAATAAATTCTCCATTGTTTTCATCATTGTTAGCATTCTGATTTTGTACTTCCTTCATTTTTTCTTTTTGTTTGATCACAAAATCAACTCCTTTGATAATACCCGGTAATGCATCCTTCCAGGCTTGTATATCTTCCTTTTTGTTAGGTTCTCCTCCATCTGATGAATAGTCTTTGCTGATAATTTCAGGATCAAAATCAAGAGCATTGACCAAATTCTGAAGCTGAGCATCATCTACTAAAGGTCCCACAGGCTTGTGGTAAGTTAATGGCAAATCAATATCAGTAATATCACCCTCAGGATTTGTATCCTTGAGGACCTCATCTTTCTTCATTGTATCAGGATGACGGTCATGATAAACCTCCTCAGTGTCTGTGAGATCCTGGACTTCAACAAGAGGGTCATAGCTCTGATCTCTGGATTTGCTTGTAGAAGGAGCCTCTCTGATAATCATGTTGTCGCCAGATTCACCATTTTTTATCTGCAAAATATGTGTATTTTTAGGAATCCACTTTTCTTTCAGCTTGGCAGTGTGTGTAATCTCCTTAGCATTTTCTGTAGCATTTAGTTGTTGTTGTGTGAAGCTGTTAAGCTGAATACGCTTAGGGCATTTATCTGCAGTATGACCCAGATGAAGGCATGCTTTGCAATAGTGAGGCATGTCTTCATAGATGACATGTTGAGAGAAACTTTGAGACCCACATGGAATCCAAATCTTTTGGGGTAAATCTTGGGTAAGATCCAGCTCAACACACACTCGAGCAATAGATGGTCTAGACAGATTAGCAGTCGCAGCATCTATTTTAATTGGTTTTCCAATTAGACCAACTATGTCAAACAGGGCTCTCTAATCTTGTTGATGAATAGGCAGCCCCTCCAGACCAATCCAAACTGGAACCACAGGGAATTCCACATTTGGACGAAAAGACGGGGTCCATCTAGTCACACGCATCATAAATCCTCTAATAGTCCATGTTTGTCTATTCCAACATCTATAAAAATCTTCATCCGAATCAAATCGGATTAAGATATGTTTAGAATCAAGCAATCCCAAGTGAAACAATCCAGAAAAACCTATAACTTCAAAAGCTTTGCGGATCACCGAAAGATTAGGTCGTCCTTTGTAAAAATAACCAACCAAAGACCTCTTGTGTCGAGCAGCTAAATTTTGAATCTCTTCTTCTGGAAATTGGATGGCCGGCATACCTTTGTATCGAACAGGGGTCTTCTTTGATAACGGAGGATCTGCACGATTAGTTAAGACATCTACAAAAGATTTTTTATTCCAAACGTTGCTATCAGGGGGCTGGGGTGGTGGCGCCCCCCCATTTGGGGTGGCAGAACTCATCAAAACGATCGGAACCCTAGTCAGAACCCTAGTCGGAACCTTGTATGTATCATATATATATACACACACACACATGAAGTATATATATATATATATATATATATATATTTACTATTTTCTATGTTTGTTTTAAATGTGATGGGAGTATCTTTGGATTTGGTCGGGTGTGATTTAGGTCGAAGGTCCATCTAATTAAAAATGAAGAGATTATTACTTTTGAAAAAAAATCAATATAATAGTATATCTCACCATACAAATTAAAAAATGAAGAAATTACTTTTTCGAAAAAGTATCAATATAATATATCCCAGCGTACAAATAAAAAATGAAGAGATTACTTTTGAAAAAAATATCAATATCGATAGTACTACGTAGTATCCATCCCACCGTACATTATAGCATGCGAGATTCCCATCCTTGAAACTATATATACCGCCCTCTCCCTGGCCCCTGCTGTAACCTCCGATTCACTCTCAGACCATCACCGGAACCCACCGGTATACACCTGTCAATCAAGAACAGTTGGGAGAAAAATGGGTGATCCGGCCGCCGGGGGAAGGAAGAAGGTAATAATGGGGGTGGCGGTGCCGGAGAAGGTTCAGCTGCACTTGGCGATGCTGCTGTTGCAGTTCGGTTATGCCGGTTTCCATGTCGTCTCCAGGGCCGCGCTCAACATGGGCATCAGCAAGATTGTCTTCCCCGTTTATCGCAACATTCTTGCCCTCCTCCTCCTTCTCCCTTTTGCCTATTTTCTTGAAAAGTATCTATCAACTCTCATCTCTCTTTCTCCTATTATATTATTATTATTATTACTCCCACTTTAATTTGTACAACTTAATTATAATTACTTCCACATTTTGGGGTGAAAACTTTAGACTTTACCCTATTTAGCTTTGTTCAATTTTGATAGACAGTATATTTAGTATTAACATCTCTCTCTCTCTCTGAATTGTCTTCCAAGTGGAATTTTACAAGTGCATTATTAAAGTGCTAATTGTATGATGAAAAGTTGTAAAGAATAGAAAGAATAGGTTATTTTAGGATATACTAAAAATAAAAGTTGGAACATAGAGAATTATTCTAATTGAAGTCTTTCTCGCTAAATTTGCATCACCTATCATTGAATTTTATGTATCGCCAATTTGACTTTTCTCGGTCAATGACAATCAACTTTGACCAATTACATAATATATTTTTTAATAAACAAACTATTTTGAATATGAAAGTTATATCAAAATGTTCTTTATTCAAAACGTAGTATACTAATTAAAATCATCGTTCAAAGGTTGCCATCATTGATCAAGAAAAGTCAACATGACGAACCTTTTCGGACCGGGACAGAGGTAGTATAAGCGAACAAAGAAAGAGTAGTAACTGGTGAGTGATATCATGAGTGGCAAAGTAAAAGAGGTGGACCAAATATGAAAGTTATATAATAATACTGATAGGAGCAAATTAAAAATGAAATATATTCCTTAATTATTAATTCAATTAATTCTTAAATTATACTCCGTAATACATGTTTGATAATTCAGATACTGATTTCTTTTTGGGTGAATTTCTTTTCAGGAAAGATCGACCACCTCTGTCTTGGAAGTTTGCAACTCAGTTTTTCCTGCTCGCAATCGTTGGGTATGTTGTTATTTCTTCATACACAACAACATACGTAATATGATATTTTCATTATATTTTTAGTCTTGCGCAATTGTGATGTGGAAAATAGTGTTGATACTTATGTTTAAAATTTTACGTATTTAGAGCCGGTTCGGTAGCACGGGAATTGGCTGATTTGGCTGATTATGCTGAAATTTATAAAGTTCTAGTTGAAGTGACTCCATTGGCCGATTCTGCTGATTTAAGAGAAAAATCATTTTAAAATATATTTTATTAATAAAATAAAGAAAAAATTATATGTAAAAATAGTTAAAATGGTCATCTACAGTAATTTCAGCCAATACAGCTAGAAAAGTAAATTCAACCTTTTTCTACTTATTACACAATTAAACGTGCGAAAGCAAAATTTACGTGTTTGGTGAAAAAGTTGGCTGATAAGCTTGATAAGCCGAAAAACATTGTTGCCAAACGGCCTCTTAATTCTTCAATTTCCATATAAGTGACACTTTTTATTTTTCAATTACTATCATAGTGACATTTTAATCCTTCTCTTATTGTGACAAAATGATAGTGGGAGACTAAAATTTGAGAATACTTATAGAACTAAAGGTGGGGATTTCAAAACCTATGACCAAAAATGTCTCATTCACAAAATTTGAATGACTAAAAGAGGAAAAATCAAGATGAAGTACCAAAAAGTCTCTCGCACAATATTCAGGAATGAATATTGTGTGATTTTTAATATTCTTATAGAGTATACTTGGTATATATTATCGGGTTAATATAGTGTTTATTCTCTGTTCAAAATATGTTCAAATCAGTTCAATTATTCTTGTCCTGCTTTGCCAGGATTACTGCAAACCAAGGGTTTTACTTGCTGGGTCTGGACAACACCTCTCCTACTTTTGCTTCCGCCATTCAGAACTCTGTTCCCGCCATTACATTCCTCTTGGCGGCCTTACTCAGGCAAGAATTTTCTTGAAATATATGGGTAGTATATAAAGTTGAGAAAAATGTCAGATACCCCTCGAACTTACATAAAAAGGTCAAATAAGCCATTATATAGAAGACTCTGTCCGACCATCCCCATTTGGGGTGGTTTCCAGTGGAATTTTTTGATGAAATTTTTTGAACATCTTATTCATTAAGTCTAGTTTACTGATACCAAATTCCAACTAAAACTTCCTACGGGAAGGCATTCAAATGAAATCTTGAAGATAAATGCACAGTTAAAAGCGCAGTGATCTTCAAGAATTCATTTGAATGCCTTTCCGATTGAATTATTAGATGAAATTTGGTATGAGTAAACTAGACTTAATGAATACGATGCTCGAAAAATTTCATCAAAAAAATATACCGGGAATTGCCCCAAATGGCGACAATCGGACCGAACCTTCTATATAAGACTTATTTGACTTTTTTATGTAAGTTCGAGGATCTATTCGACCTTTTTTCTCTATAAAGTTTAAACACATATAGTGAGGTCGAGCTCAAATAAATGAGAACCATTCTATTTTAGCATGAATTAAGTAAAACCTAAGTATAATTTTCATTCTTAACTCTGATGTGATATACGGAGTATATATCAAAACTGAATTTAATTAAAACTTTGTTATCCCCTCTTTGTTTTCATTTTTTATCATTATTTGTTTTGAACATTTAGATTCAAATGTGATATAAGCTTACGTTTTATAATATAATATACTTCTATCCATATTTATTTAGTTGCAATAATTTTATTTTCACATTTTCAAATCATAACACACAATATTGTTAATTTTGTCCACAATTTCTGTTTTTAATAATGATATAGGCAAAATTTTAATTTGATTTTTTATACTCAACACAACAAACGTCTTAGTTTAGATTCCAACAATTAATCTCTATGTATTTTATTGGGGAAAAGTTTACTATCTACTCCCTATATCAGAACACAACTACTACTATTATGTATCATTAATTAAATCAAACTGAGTATGAGGCGCATAATGGAGAAAGTAATATGTTTATAATTTGAATTTTAACATTTACATTTACTTTTATTGTCCGGACATTGCCTACTTTCATTTGAATGTTAAATAAGAAAAGTAAACATTATGAGGCCATTTGGCAACACTGTAATTCGATGAAGTGGTTGATTCTAAAGATTTATGGGAAAAAATATTTAAAATATATTTTATCAACAAATTAATGAATAAATTATATGAAAAATAGCTAAAATGATCATGTACGGTAACTTCTTTCAATACAATCAGAAAAGTAACTCTAATCTTCATTTTCTTATTATTACACAATTCAACGCACGAAAACAAAAGTTACGTGTTTGATTAAAAAGTCGGCTAATAAACCTGATAAGCCGAAAAATAGAGTCACCAAACGGGCTCTATGTGTTTGAGATTTGTGAAGAAGAACGAGGAATTAGGAGCATAAAAACAAATCATTACTTTAAAAGAAAAATGACAATTTTTTTTAACAAACAAAAAGAGAATTGACAAATTATATTGAAATGGATAAAGTATAAAAATATGTCCAATGTAGAATGTACGATTGAATGAAGTGAGCCAGTACAATAATAATAAAAGATACACGTAAGTCGGTAGGTTGTCCCTTCCGTCCCAATTTAATTTGCAAAATTTCCATTTTTTAGTTTTCCCAAAATAATTTTCCACTTTCAAAATTTGCAATTCAATTAGGGAGGGAGGGAATCGGCAGCACTCAATTCCCATTTCAAAGGTATTTTCACATAAATGATGTATCCTTGATATATCTCACTTTGGAATTTAGATGGTGACACATTTGAGCCCACCGACAATGGATTGTATGTGTTTTTTACTGAATTAGAGACCGTGGTTTCATTTTAAAATTCCCAGAAATGACACCCATAAATTTTCATACTACTTCCGTCCCATAAAATTTTTCCCATTTTGACTTGACACGAAGATTAAGAAAGTGGAATAAAGTGGAAATGTATGATTATGGTTGTGTAAGAAAAGGGTGAAATGAATGTGAACCACACAAATTGTCCAAAAATAGTAAGTGAGAAGAATTTTTTGGAACGACCCAAAAAAAGAAAGTAGTAAGAATTTTATGGGACGGATGGACTAAATGATAGAGACCATAATTTCATTTTAAAATACCCAGAAATGAGATGTGAAAGGGAATCAGATTTTTTTCTGTTTGTAAATAAAATATAATTAGTTCGTTTTTTTTTTTTTTACTTTTATATCTTACTATTGTTTTAACATTTGTTTTTTAAAACATTATTATTGTAGGATAGAGACGGTAAGACTAAACAGAAAAGATGGCATAGGAAAAGTGATGGGCACATTATTCTGCGTGTGCGGGGCGTCTGTAATCACACTCTATAAGGGCCCCACAATCTACAGCCCGACGCCGTCGCTGAGAATAGTCACCCCGCCGGCGGCGATGATGCGTGGGGGTGCCGGAGATGACGTGGTGGGCAACGGGAAGAACTGGACGATGGGGTGCATTTTCTTGATCGGGCATTGCTTGTCGTGGGCCAGCTGGCTGGTCCTCCAAGCGCCGGTGCTCAAAAAGTACCCGGCTCGGCTCTCCGTCACCTCCTACCAGTGCTTCTTTGGCGTCATCCAGTTCCTTATCATTGCCGGCTTTTGCGAGAGAGACCCTCAGGCTTGGCTCGTTCACACCGGCGCCGAGCTCTTCAGCGTCTTCTATGCTGTAAGCAATTAATAAATCAAATATCCTTCCCAAATTAAGAAATTATAAATTGAATTGAAATTTTCTGAATATATAGATTGAAACCGAATGAATTCCATTAAAAACATCATAATAAATTAATAATATCTTCTCACCTTTTGACTTTTTATAATATCTCTGTCACATATTGAGTTATAAAATTAACTTTTTGGGGTCGAATAGTTTTATTTTATGTATTTAATTAGAATATCAATTCTTGATTAAATTTTAGTTTACATTTTGCAATGTTATTATATACTACGTGTATTTTAATGTGATTTTTAAATGTGTATATTTTAATTATGATAATTTAATTAATTATCAATAAAAGAGATTTAACTTTAACATTGTTTGACTAAAAATTGTTGACTTAGCAAAATAATTTGGAATGAAGATAGCATGGTTGATGTTAAATCATTACTCCCTATATATTGGTTAAAATTATTTTCGAACAAAATCTATACGAAATTAATATTTTGTGATATATACTAAAACAAAATATTTAAAAATGTTTTCATTTTTATTAAAACTTAGTACGAAGTATAGTTTTTAAATAATTAACTTTCAAAATTATACTACGTATAAAGTTATCTTCAAAAGTCAAGTTGAGAAACAAATACTTGCTCACAGAAAATCACAAATGAGGCGTGACTTGTGTTATGGGCATATTTTGGTACAGAAATTAGTACGTGAACTAAACAAATTAATACACATATATTTAAGAAAAATTCACAAATAGAATGAGACATGGCATAAATTCTTCAGTGTAATTTTTTCTTTCCAAAATACTAGTGTAATTTATGCAATTCTATTCTAGAGAGTTTTTATTGCTTTATATTTTAAAAATATTAAAATTTTGTTCTATCTTTTAATCTTATTCTTATTGTAACGTAACTGTGAATGGTAACATTTAAAATTGTGAACCATATTGTCTAATTTTACGTGCGTACACTCTTACTAAGCTATTACAGCAATAAATAATAATTGCATGCGCAGGGAGTGGTGGCTTCAGGAATAGCATTTGCGGTACAAATATGGTGTATAGACCGGGGAGGTCCGGTCTTTGTGGCGGTTTACCAACCGGTCCAGACATTGGTGGTGGCGCTCATGGCATCCCTGGCTCTTGGGGAAGAATTCTATTTGGGAGGGTATATATGTCATCTCTTTTCAACGAAACCACCATACTCACAAAATATATTTATCGTTTTCTAAAGTTTCTAGGTGATTTTGACCGTTTTGAGTAACTTATATACCGAGTAGTAACCATCACACTCAAACTAGAACATGTTATTATAGGAGTTTGGAATTTCAAAAAATGATTACTATGTTTTTATTCCCGAAATAGGACTAACACGTCTGTATTTACTGTTATCTTATAGGTGTGACTGTCAAATAATTGATGGATAGTGCATTTCACATGACAATATTTGTTATAAATAAGGGCAGTATTTTTCATTCATGTCAATATTTTTCATAATGACAGTAACAACTCATATTTCAGGAAGAAAAACATAGTAGTCTTATATTGGAATTCTAAATCTCATTTACTCCTATTAAGGGCAATTTCCCTTGATTATTATATACGAAGTATAGTTTTTCATAAATTGTTAGAATAAGCAAATTCCGTTAAACCCCCGATTTCAGTTTTAATTACTAAACGGGCTCTAATATGAATTGACTCTTTTGAGATGACTGAACACGAAACATGGGTAGTGTGGGAAGTCCAATCAAATGTACTTCGTACGTAGTACTCCATAGTATAGAAAGAGGGAAGAACGAGGTTAGAATGTTCTTTGTGAACAAAAGTTGATGAGCAAATCCGCAAAGAGATAACGACACGATACATTGTCTCCTCAGTGCAAAGAAGTTGATACCGTACGCAGTTGAAGTTTGACAAAAAAACACATGCGGATAGTCCACTCCCTTTCATTATTCTTTAATCTCAACCTCAAGGACCCCAGACCTCGTGATGTAAATCATGGCGACTCGATTAAATTTAACGATATAGTTCTTATACTACACCATAAACCCAACTCAGAACATAAGAGTTGCGACCTTCACACGATCGGTGCAAGTTTCGATCTTTGATTGTTGTTTAATTTTTCTACCACTTTATCAGTTGAGCTACCCGTGCCACGATGCCAATACTATTACTCCCTTTCAAATGCTAGAGGACCAGCTTGTAGCTTGATTAGAGTTGATTTCTTTTCGGGTTGATTTTTAAGATGAAAAAACTATATGTTAAATATGAAATTGGAGTCGATTAAATGGCAATTCTAGAAGATAAATTTCTATAGACCTCAACCTCAACAACGTCCACAATAAGTATTTTAAATTGGTCTGCTCCAATTTATGATAGAAACATACATAAAAACGTACTCCTCTTTTCATGTTGATTAAAAATGACATAGTAGTCCAGTTTACATCATCCTTATTTAACATTGGAATAAAAAATTGGTCTCCAAGGCAGGATGCAAACCTGCTTGTTATGATGACATGTCAAAAAATAATCTTGACATTATTGACATCACAGTCTTCGTATAACAGTGCCCTTGACATGTTGACTCAACATTTTGGTTGAGAAACATCAGTAAATGACCACTTCTATTGCCCATAAAAATATCTACCCATGATCCATGATATATATGTTCTACAAAGGATTTTGATTTATTTATTTTAAAAGCCAAAGACATTACACTTAACCATCCATATGGTCAGTTAACATAATGCAATGGATGAGCCTTTTGGATTCTGTTGTCTATTTATATGAGCCTTAGACATTACACTTCTGTTGACAAAAATTATTCTATGTTAACAATGTAGTATTAAAGATGCTCTTAATTAGTTCTTATTATTGTGCGGTTATGGACAGGATAATTGGAGCAGTGTTGATCATAATAGGGTTGTACCTTGTTTTATGGGGCAAGAACCAAGAAGCTAAGTTTGCCAGGGCAAAGGTGACGGCGATTCAATCCACCGCGGACCACAAAAGGACACCTGAGGAGAGCCATATCAAGACCTCTTTGGCCCAACCTCTGCTCCCGTCAACCCAAAATGCTTGACCATCGAAAACATGCAATCCCTTTTTTGGTGCCCTGGAATTTCTGAAAATGTTCAAAAAGAAAAAAAGTCCATGTGCGTGTATGAAATTAAGTCTCCTTGTTTTATGGGTTTTTGTAATTTTTCTTTATGAAATCGAATGTATTGCTTATTCCTATCATTATTACCTTTAAATATATGAATATATATGAAATGTTGTCGGCATTTTTTGAGCGGAGTAATGATTGGTAGTCCTTGTAAATTAAAGTATGAATGGTAATGTTGATTGGTAATCTTGGATCCTTAATTAATTATGATGGAGTATATGGGTCTGAGCCCCAGGACTCACATACTCAGAAGAACAGAAAGCACAAGGCACTGAGTGGTGCCCTCGTCGGCCAAGGGACCCCCGTCGTCCGGAAAGGTACCAACTCAGAATATGGTCCTGAAGCCAAGGAACCTAGGTGCCCTCGTCGGCCGTGCCCTCGCCGGTCACGCCCTCGTCGGCCACGAAGACCTCACAGAACCAGATTTCATACTTAATCATTCTTATCACTTTGTATCTCGGCCCAGTAGCAATCCAGTTGTAAATGGGCCTCCCAAGCCCAAGGCTTGGGAGCCCAGCCCGTATTTTCTCTATAAGTACTCCCCTTGGGAGTAGTTGTAGGGGTTACAAAAAATCATTCTATTGAAGCATATTATTGCTCTTCTCTCTCTAGCTCTCACTTCTCTCTAGATAATTACTCTATCATTTGGTGCTCTCGTTGAGAGCTAGAACAATCAAGTTAGCACCCTTCGTCGCTACCAAGCACAGCTAACCACTGATCATGGGAAGAACTAAATCAAACCGCAACCTCGTCAGCAAGGCCATCCCTGAGGACCAGGAGGCCAGGGAGCACGAGGAGGATGCTACGGCCGACCAGGTCAGCGGAGGGGACGTCTTCCAGGAGGCCATCAACCTCACGACGGACCTCCGCAACCAGCTCAACGGCGGAGCCCCTGATGCCCGCATCAGCTTGGACAAGAAATGAGCTGAGAAGGCAGACCACGCCCCGGCCCAGCCTATGGCCGCGGCCTCTCCGTCTGTGGATCCACAGGTCCAGGCCGCGTTGTCGGTCATCATCGCCAGCTTGGCCCAGAACCCCACCGTCCTCAGCGCACTCTTGCCAAGGACCGGGGGGAACGTCACTCCACCTCCTCAGCCCCAACCGTTGGCCATCCAGATAGGCAATGATGAGGGGGTGATGGCCCAGGACACGGCGTCGTCCCACTCCCACCCCGCTTCCCCTCTTCGGCCTGGGCAGACCCTAGCGCGTGGAAAAGCCTTTGCCTTCAAAAGGCTAGGTGACACGCGCCGTCGTCCGGTTTCGGAGAGGATGACAGGGCGGATTGGTGAGCGTCGGCCTGGCTCGCCGAGGGAAAGCTTGGGGTCTGTGTCCCGGACAGCGGACCAGCCCCGCCTGGACAAGGGCAAGGGGAAGTTGCACGAGGACGACGTGCGCCACCAGATCAATGCGGCCCACGACTAGCGCATGAGAAACCAGCAGGGTGCCGCTACGGCCACCAGGGACCCCCGGGACGAGGTCATCGCCCAGCTGGAAAGGAGGCTGGCTCAGATGGAGGCCAGACAATCGGCCAACACCCCCACGGCTGGCGCCTCCAACGACCCCGGCCTCAATGCTCTCATGAACAAGGTCAGCGCCCTGGAGAGGGAGTTGGCCGAAGGGCGAGGCGACCCCATCATCCAGGTCAGGACCAGGACCCCTTTCACCAACAGGGTGCTCTCGGCCCCCATCCCTGAGAAGTACAGGGGGAACGCCATCAAGTCCTACGATGGCCGATCAGACCCTCAGGAACACTTCAGCCGTTATCAGAACAACATGCTGATGCTGAACGCGTCGGACGAATACCTCTGTCGTTGGTTCCTCTCTACTCTTGAGGGGCCAGCGTACGAGTGGTTCAACGCGCTCCCCGAAGGGAGCATTGACTCATGGAAAGACCTTGCCCAACACTTCCTCACCCACTTTGCCGGGAGGAAGCGTGCGAAGAAGTATTTCACCCACCTCCTCTTCGTCAAGCAGCAACATGATGAGTCCCTCCGGTCGTTCATTGATCGGTGGACGAGGGAAACCGAAGAAGTCGAGGGGGCCGATGAGCGCACCCTCCTCGCCATGTACCAAGGAGCCCTCCGCAGCTCCCCGTACGCAAGGAGCCTCATCACCGACCCTCCAAGGTCGTACGCCAAAGCGCTCCAGTGTGGAAGCTTGTACGCCGACGCCGACGAGCTCCACAACCACAAGAAAGAGGGAGGCCATCCCTCCAAGAAGACAAATCCTTCGCCGGCCCCGGGTCCGTCCCCGGCCGGCCAGGGTGCCCAGGGCCGTCACGGCTCTGGTGGACAAAGTAAGAAAGATCGCCACTGGCGGCCGAGGTTGGAACGGCCGGGAGTTGCCCTCACTCACCCGGTCGGCACCATCCTTGACTATGACGAGAAGCACGGCCTCATCGAGCAGGCTCCTCGGCCGGCCGAGGAGGTCCTTGCCATCCAGCAGGGCGGCACATACTGCCGGTTCCACAAGAACTCCTCGCACAACACCGACGACTTCATTACGCTGAAGAAGGCCATCGAGCGCCTTATCCGTCAGGGGGAACTCTCCCAGTTTGTTAAAGGTGGCCCACGCAAAAATACATGGGTAAACACCGGCAAACCAGGGGGCGAACCCTCTACGAAGAAGCGGGAGTTTGGCAGGCTCAGTGACGAAGAGGACTTCGAAGAGCCCCCGCCAAAGAAGAATCACATTCACCTCATTGTGGGTGGGAATACTGGGGAGGACTCTGTCACCCAGAGAAAGAAATGGGCCCAATCCCTCTACATTGGGGAGGTGTCCCACGTTTCCCCCCAGCCGAAGAAGCAGCGAACGGAGGCGATCACCTTCACCGACAAGGATTTGCCTCCGGGTACGGAATCACATAGGGACGCCCTCGTCATCCGGTGTGAGATCGGTGACACCATCATCCACCGCACTTACATCGATACGGGGAGCTCCGTCAACGTGATGTACCTGGATACCTTCAGGAAGCTGAAGCTAGACAGAACACTGCTGAAGCCGATCAAGACACCGTTGTCCGACTTCACCGGGGACTCTATCGACGCTGAGGGCACGATAGTCCTCCTCGTGGAGGTCGGCGACGGCACCCACCGCGCCAAAATTAACATGGAGTTCATGGTGGTCAACCTCCAGTGCACCCACAACCTGATCTTGGGGCGGCCAGCACTGGAGGACTTGGAGGCCATCATTTCCATGAAGCACTTGTGTCTGAAGTTCCCCACCAATGGCGGCATCGGCTGCGCCAGAGGAAACCAGAGGATAGCCAGAGCGTGCTACCTCAAGCTAACGAGGCCGGCCGAAAGGGAAGGACAGAGGATAGACACCATCACGGCAGCCGTTGCCAAGGACGGAGAGAGGCCGCACGCCGAGCCGGCCGAGGAGGTCGAGGAAGTCCCTCTGGATACCTCCCGACCGGAGCGGGTCCCAGAATCGGGAAGCAGCTCCCACAGGACCAGCGGGACGCCATTCTCCTCGTCCTACGGTCATACGCCGTTGTCTTTGCGTGGGGCCCGGATGACATGCCAGGCATCAGCCGCCAGGTGATTACTCACCGGCTGACCGTCGATCCAGCCTCCGCGCCCGTCAAGCAGAAGCGGCGCTACTTATGCGCTGATAGGCGGGACTTCGTCAAAGGGGAGGTCGCCATGCTCCTCTCGATCAGCCACATAAAAGAGGTGAAGTACCCGACGTGGCTAGCCAACGTCGTCCTCGCCCAAAAACCGCCGACATTCAGAATGTGTGTTGATTACACTGACCTGAACAAGGCGTGCCCCATGGACCCGTTCCCTCTCCCCAACATTGATCAGCTGGTGGACGAGACGGCGGGGTGCGGGTTGATGTCGTTCCTTGATGCTTTCAGAGGGTACCACCAAATTTTCATGCATGAAGATGACGCTGAGAAGATGACATTCATGACCCCGGAGGGAATCTTTTGCTACCTCGTCATGGCCTTCGGACTCAAAAACTCCGGCGCCACCTATACTAGGATGGTGGCCAAGATCTTCAGAGCGGTCCTTGGCTGGACGATGGAGGCATACGTCGACGACATGATCGTCAAGAGCAGGCAGGCCTCATCCGTGCAGGTCGGCCATTAGCTTCGTGCTCATCCGTGAGGACGAAGGTGTGCAGAAGGCCATCTTCTACATCAGCAAGACACTCAGGGAGGCCGAGCTCAGGTACTCCCCCATTGAGAAGACGGTGCTGGCCATCGTCCATACGGTGAAGAAGCTGGGGCACTACTTCCAGGCCCATGTCGTCCATGTGCTGACCCAGCAGCCCCTTGGCGCGCTCATGAGGAGCCCCACTAGCTCCTCAAGGATGGTGAAATGGACAATCTTCCTCAGTCAGTTTCAGATTGAAATCAAGCCAAGGCCATCCATCAAAGGGCAAGCTTTGGCCGACTTCGTCACCGAATGCACGGCAATGGAGACAGCCGCTACTGCCCCCGGGCCAGAACCCGATGACACATGGATCCTCTTCACCGACGGCTCGTCGGCCGCGAAATCATGCGGTGGCGGCGGCGTCCTCATATCCCCTGAAGGATTCAGAGCTTACTATGCCATCCGCTTCAACTTCAGGGTATCCAACAATGAAGCCGAGTATGAGGCCCTCCTCAGCGGCCTCAGACTCGCCGCCGGCCTCAGAGCCCGACACATCAAAATCAGGTGCGACTCCAAACTGGTAGTGGGCCAGGTTGAGGGTACGATAAAAAAAAAGCGCTTCCCAACTTTTTACTTAAAAAGGTTAAAAAGAGGTTTTCTACTTAAATTAATACTTAAGAGCTGAAAGCTGAATTTTTTTTTTAACTTTTTTTATTACACAAAATGCACTTATTTTATCAAACACTACCAATTTTAACGTTTCAAAATCAATTTTTTCCCAAACATTACTAACTTTTACTGATGGAGTCAATGGCCCGGGAACCCCCGGCCCACAGACTCCTACTACTCCAATAAAGGCCCAACAGACCCAGAAAGCACAACAGGCCCAAATCACGGCGCCCAAGATACCAAGCAGCCCACAAATGCGCATCAGGGGTGCCTTCGGCCCCCTGGCCGAAGGCTCTAACTCTCACAGGAGGGCCAAGACAGCAAAACAAAGTTACTGGGAAAAATGGTGAAAAACAGTAGCCCTCGGCACCAAGGGGGTCCCCAGTACTTAGAGCCCTCGGCTAGTCCTCTACAGCCGAGGGCACCT